CCTTCTTTATGGTCCAGCTCTCACTTCCATACATCACTACTGGGAAAACCATAGCTTTTACTATACGGACCTTTGTTGGCAAGGTGATGTCTCTACTTTTTCCCAATGGTTCTCTTGGTAGGAGCTCTATAAAGAAGGCGGCTTCTTTAGAAGGCAAAATCAAAGGCTTATTCAAGATACTTGAAAATTAACATTGCTGTCTACAGAAGAGAACTGCAGTGGACAGCACTATTTGGTCAACTGAATTATATCTCATCAGAGGGGATCCCCACATTAGCTTGCAGCCTTTATTTTTTCAAGCACCTTTAAAAAAAGGACCTGTGGGCAGGAATTAGCGAGAGCATTATTTTTCTATGTATTCTGCAATGTTACTGTGTCTGATGAATAATAATTATGTAGACATAAGCATGCATGGTGGCTTTACCCCTTCTAGAAAAATTGGCTTTATCTTTTGCCCATGAGCCATACACTATACTTAAAATGTACTCGTCCTCTTAGGCACTGTTTGATGTTGCAGTTCAGTGTGAGGGTCTAAAATCCTTTCCCTGTGCTTCTTGTTTTATCGTGTATTTAAATTTTGTGGCTTAATTGCTGTGGACCTCTGTGAGCCCATGAGGGGTTTTTGTGTGTGTGGTGGTTTTTTGTTTTTTAAAGAAAAAGATATTCCTTTCATTTGCATTTCTTTGGTGGAGAAAAAGAAGCCTATTGTGAAAACAACACATCTGGAATGAGATAGCAACAGCAGACAGGATCATCTACAAAGGTTCTAGCTTAGACTTGGGTCTCCAGCTGTTTTTGGACTACAACTCTCATTGTCCCTAGCTAGCAGAACCAGTGGTCAGGGATGATGCAGTGTAGTCCAAAAACAGTTGGAGACCCAAGTTTGGGAAAACCTGCTCTAGAACAAGGGGCAACCTTTCTCAAGCACCAGCATGAAGCTTATACCCCATTGTCTCCACCCCCATCGTTCTGCCCGGATGCTGAGGTCCAGCGCCGAGGGCCTTCTGGTAGTTCCCTCACTGCAAGAAGCAAAGTTACAGGGAACCAGGCAGAGGACCTTCTCAGTAGTGGCGCCCGCCCTGTGGAACGCCCTCCCATCAGACGTCAAAGAGATAAACAACTACCTGACATTTAGAAGACATCTGAAGGCAGCCCTGTTCAGGGAAGTTTTTAATGTGTGACATTTTAACATATTTTTAATCTTTGATGGAAGCCACCCAGAGTGGCTGGGGAAACACAGCCAGATGACCGGGGTGTTGTTGTTGTTTAGTCGTTTAGTCGTGTCCGACTCTTCGTGACCCCATGGACCAGAGCACGCCAGGCACTTCTGTCTTCCACTGCCTCCCGCAGTTTGGTCAGACTCATGTTTGTAGCTTCGAGAACACTGTCTAACCATCTCATCCTCTGTCGTCCCATTCTTCTTGTGCCCTCAATCTTTCCCAACATCAGGGTCTTTTCCAGGGAGTCTTCTCTTCTCATGAGGTGGCCAAAGTATTGGAGCCTCAGCTTCACGATCTGTCCTTCCAGTGAGCACTCAGGGCTGATTTCCTTAAGAATGGATATGTTTCCTTAAGAATGGATATGTTTGATCTTTTTGCAGTCCATGGCAGGGTACAAATAATAAATTGTTGTTGTTGTCAGGGACTACCTACAGCATCATTTTAAGGGTTAACTGTCCCTCACTCTGGAACGAATCACCCCGGAAACTATGGAAGAAATGAGAAATTTGTGTATTCTCACCGGTTACTTTACTAAGGATGATGGTCATGAAGTTTGCTCTGATTTGCTACTTGATTGCTTAAAAACTGAAGCCTGGCCTTAGATGATGGAGTTCTTAGGGAGTAGAATGAACTTCAGGGAGCACAGCAGGAAGCAGAAGTTTTCTCCCTGACAGACAAGGTGTCCACCATAACTTTGGGTTTCTTAATGCAATGGAGTCATAGAAATGGCACCCCAGCCCGAAGTCTGAAGTGATACAGTCTACTCTACTATCTCAAGATTCTATAGCACTGCATGAGCATATGGTGGCTATTCTTCACCCGACAGACAGACTCGGCAATGAATTCTCCTTTCTAGCTTTAGAGCTCCTAGATCTAAGGCTGAAAACACAACTGCCCAATACACAGCTTTCAGAGGAGAACCGCAGTCAGCTGCCGGAACTCTTTCTGCATGCAGTCTCACCCCTGTGTAGTTTATTCAACTGTGTAGGTTGAGCGTCAAATTGCCTGTGCAAGATCGAACTTCAGTTTGCAATGTTGGTTTCCCCGGGGAGGTTTCAAAGAGGTGGTGAAAGGACAAAGCAGGGTATAACTCTACATAGACGTAGAACTAATTTTGATCTCCTGAGCATGAAATAGGTAAGAGTGTGCTTTTGAAACATAGCAGAATACATATAGTTCCTTACTCAAGGCTAGGGAATATACGATAGCCATTATTTTCTATCTGAGCTGAAAGAAGAACAGCAGTAGACTATTCTCCATCACAGAGGCATTCTTAGTAATCTTTTATCAAACAATGTTTTGATACTGTTTACTAGGGGCTGTGCAATCTGATATGGACTTTTGTTTTTATCTGTGTCTATGTGTGCTCAAGTGAGGGGATCTCATTCTTATTTGTTGACTTGTGAAGAGTATTTACAGCCGTGGGGTGGGGTGGGGGTGGCAACATTCAGACAGCACTTTGCACCATCTTCTAACCATCCTTACCTGTCTAGCTTTACATTTTACATGATATTTCACATGCATAAAATCTGTGTCAGGAAACATAGCAAAACCCAGTAGAAGTTTAGCACTCATTTCAGTGTTAATTGTTTCCAGATAAAAATCTGTTTGCAACCCTGGAAACCTGGAATATTGTGGGAGTTTTACATTACATGTTCTCTACAGTTTTCATTGAACAAGCCCACCCCCATATAACAAAATTGGGGGTGAAATTTTAGCATACCTCATGGCACTGGAGCCAACTCTGGGGGCATGGGTGATTTGGCAACCACAATAATTTATTTGTAGGGCTGGAGCTCCACAAAGTCAATGGGCAAAGTTGAAACCCTTCGTTGTGGGCACACACAGCCTTCAGCACAAGATGGCACCTATGCCTCATGGTGCATCATGGGAGAACAGAAGTGTGCATTCATTGAAAGGGGGGTAATGGTGACATGCCCAATGGCATTTGTTGTTGTTGTGCCACACCATGTCTGCTGGTGTGACTAACATTTTAAATGACAAGGCAGTATATTGGTCAAAAAGCTACCATACAGCACACATTGTGGTGTCAGAGGTTACCTTAGAAATTGGGCAATCATTGTAACTAACACAATAAATCCCATTTCTTAGAATTCATATTTCTCATGCTGCTTATTTTTGTTTTCAGTGTAAGTCATCTAAAGACTTACATAGGCAAATCAGACATTTGTAGAAGACAGGGGTGCCAACTTGAATAAAATATGGGGGCCAGGTAAGCCCTGCCCCCCATAATTGATCACAAGTCACAATTTAAATGGCAATGCCCTTCAACTTTGGGGGGAGCCCGGCCCCAAATATTTTATTGGGGGTGCTGAAGGGACCTTGGCCCCTAGAATCGGCTCCTATGGTAGAAGAGGACGACGAGGAGGAGGAAGATTTGTAACACCATGAAGAGAATAGGGGTAATGGGGAAACCATGACTGCTTAAAGTGGTATGACATAGCTTTAAATGTATAGTATAGATTGCCCCCTAGGCAAGTGAGCTGATCATCTCAAGTGGAAGAATCTGAGATGCTGAAGGACAGAGTTGCATTCACCATACAGCCTGCCAAATGCCCTCTAAGCTGGTGTGCTGTCCTCAGGGGCAGTGAAACAAGTTGTTGGTGGTGGTGCTGCTGCTATTTATTAAATTTGTATTTAATACAAATTTGTTTTGACATTGGAGAAAATATTTTCTGACATGCTCTGTGTATATGTTACTTATATATTATTTGCATCATCTCCCTCTGCTCATCTGCCAGTTAGCTCAATTGGTTAGAGAGTGGTGCTGATAACACCAAAGGTGGCAGGTTTGATTCCCATAGTATAGCCCGTATAGCCACAGGTCTTAGGGGTTCATAGGATATAGTCACAAAACACAAAATACATAATCAAAATAAAAACAAGAACCACCCAATAACTCCCTGCCCCAAAAACACATTTTATAATAAATTTTTATTAGTTTTCAGTATAATCATACAATTTTATCCAAATTTTTCCTACAAAAACACATTTTAAAAGGGCATTGAATGTCAGTCAACCAAAGCGCTGTTCCATTGCCAGCACTGACATCAACTATTCATGGAACGATTTCATCTTGTCCTGGGCTGACACCAGAATGTGTGGACATACCTTAAATATGAACTTGAAACAGTTTACATGCAGAATAAGTCCATGTGGGAAATGCTTTGAGATTCTTTTCCCTCCCATAGGTGAAGAAACATTTCAAGATTCTATAGTTCCCCAAGTATAAGACTTTCTAAATGATGGGCAAAAGTTCCACCTTTGCTCTTTCCCACTTTTTATTTTTCTTCAAAATCTCATATGTAAATTAGTCACTTCTATATTTTTTTCCAGCATACACTTTCCCCTATTAATTTATATAATAGCTAATGTGTGAAGGATGAGTGTTATCCCTCATTGGAGCTCACCACTTTTTAATTAATTTCCCAGCAGTGTATTAATTAGTCGTGTAGAGCATTCTAGAACTCTTTGATACTTCCTTAATCAGATTAAGAATTTATTATGTGAGCATCCATAATACCACAAGTCAAAGTCACTTAGAAAAGAATTATCTCAAGATCATCGGGAAACAGAGGCCAATTCAAATACTCTTGAAAATAATTAATACATTCGTACAATGAAATAAACACAAAGTATAGAAAATCCATCCCTGGGATTTTCTTCATTACATTGTTTTGACATTGGAGAAAATATTTTCTGACATGCTCTGTGTATATGTTACTTATATATTATTTGCATCATCTCCCTCTGCTCATCTGCCAGTTAGCTCAATTGGTTAGAGAGTGGTGCTGATAACACCAAAGGTGGCAGGTTTGATTCCCATATGGGCTGCACGCATATTCCTGCATTGCAGGGGCTTGGATAAGGTGACACATGGGATCTCCTGCAACTCTACAATTCTACGAGTCAGCAATAAAATAAAATAAATTTAAGAGCACCCAGAGCAGCTTATAAAGATCAGTCATAAGACAGTCCCTGCCCTCAAGTCTGCAAGCTAAAATACGTCACAAAAGGGAAAGGGATTGGGGTAGAAAAAACAAAATCAGCCTATACAGTGGTACCTCAGGTTACAGATGCTTCAGGTTACAGACGCTTCAGGTTACAGACTCCGCTAACCCAGAAATAGTACCTCGGGTTAAGAACGTTGCTTCAGGATGAGAATAGAAATTGTGCAGCGGCGGCAGTGGGAGGCCCCATTAGCTAAAGTGGTACCTCAGGTTAAGAACAGTTTCAGGTTAAGAACGGACCTCCGGAACGAATTAAGTTCTTAACCCGAGGTACCACTGTACTGTAGTTCTAAGTTATGAGGTCTAACAGACAGTAATTCATGAAGCTGGATCTAAGCACATTAGAAGGGCTGATTCTTCTCTTCCCTGTGATGGCATCAATGATAGCAGCTGGACGGATGGGGGCTCAGCTGGAGAGTAATATAATTCTACAAGGAGCAAAGAAAGGTTTAGACTTCAAAGTCAAAGGTTTTGTGCAAGCAGCAATAAACTGAATCGTCAGAATGGGAAGAGGGCACATGATTTTGCCACAAACAATCCAGCTTCACCATTTCCTATATATAAATCACCTTGCTGGATGCGACCTGCAAATGCAAGTGGGTATGATGTAATCCTCCCCTCCAATTTACCCAGCACCTTCATATATATTTATCCTTCCTGATATGTATGAGGCCCATGGGCATCCCTTAACACAGTGTTTTTGAAACCTGGAGACCCAATTTGCTGTTATTCTCCTGACTTTAAAAGCAATCCTCTAAACTAGGGATAGTCAACCTTTTTATACTTACCCCCCACTAATGCATCTTTCTTGATGGTAATATTTCCTTACCACCCACCAGTGCTCGATGGAAGGAGGATTCAGCTTGTGCCGTAGAACCCCACACTGCCCACCTAGAATCCTGAAATGCCCACTAGTGGGTGGTAGGGACCAGGATGACAACCCCTGCTCTAAACGGACTATTAACAAATCCCACTGAGGTCAGTAGGATTTACTCCCTGGTGGGGATGTAAAAAGAAACTGTTTTCTGTTCCATCCTGTACATGTTGGATACAGCGCTGTTTCCGTTCCACTGCTTTTCACCCTCCACCAAAACCTGCACCTCACTTTCTGCTGCAGTGAAATTATGTAAATAACATAACTTACAGTAGTACCTCAGGTTACATACGCTTCAGGTTACAGACTCCGCTAACCCAGAAATATTACCTTGGGTTAAGAACTTTGCTTCAGGATGAAAACAGAAATCGTGCTCCGGTGGCGCGGCGGCAGCAGGAGGCCCCATTAGCTAAAGTGGTGCTTCAGGTTAAGAACAGTTTCAGATTAAGAACAGACCTCCAGAACGAATTAAGTTCTTAACCTGAGGTACCACTGTACATTGTCGTTATGTTATTCCAGCCCACTCATTTCATTGTAAAGGAAACAGGATGCAAATGGGAAAGGAGATAATAAGATGTGTATTATTTGTGGACTGAAAGCACAACAACAATGAATATTGATCATATTCTGTGGATTGATTTCCATGCCTTGAATGCACTGAATTCTGCTTCCTCCCCCCATGGCAGTAGATAAGTAGAACAAAGAAAAAGGAGTCTTCTTACCAGTTAGAAACTTTAATAACCACAGCGAGAGAACAAATAACCCATCTCCTAGAATTGCGGTGCTCCCAATTAAGGATCCCACCCCCTTACGTCCCTATTAATCTACGTCACTTCTACATCTTGTAATCTGAGTTTGTACCCTCTATGCTTTGTGTGCTTTCTGTTCTGCCACTTTCTGAGCTCTTTTTGACCTTAGGGAGAGTGGAAGAATGCTTTTCAGAGACAGTGAATCTATTAACCCTCTCTCCCCCAATGCTTCTTCTCCTAGCTGTTCCCCATTCCAGTATTTCCCAGCTTCTGCCTTCTGAACTGTGTCCCTCTGCAAACCACTGTTCCAAATCTATACTGTCCTCCTGCTCCTGCGAAGATTCAGGATCCAGAGCAGGGGGAAGGGGGTGCTCCCACCATTCCTCCTCAGTGCAGCCCTCCTCAGCACAGTCCCTGACACTGAATAAGCAAACATGACAATTCCTGTTTCCTTTTCCATTGGAATTCAGTGGCACCCTTACTCCCCTGTAAGTAGGTATAGGATTGCACCCGTAAATACTTGGAACCTGGAGTGTTGGATGCATCGAGCATGGTGGTTGCATTTTCGAGACACACTGAAGCCCTTTTTGCAGTGTGTAAACTCCAGGCAGAAGAAGCACGTTCCCAACAGATTGTTGATATGTTAGCTGTTGAACACCTATATGGTAAACAGGAGAACTGAACCCAGTCTCACTCTTCTTCCCTATCGCATTTCACATAAGCCAAAAGTAGGGAACGGGGAGGGGGAAGGAAAATGAGGACAAACTCAGATGGCCACTGCACATCCTGGGCACTTTGCAAAAGGAAGAGCTTTGATCGCAGCTTCGCAGTTGAATTTTTAAAAATCACCAAAAGTGGAGGGATGTACATGAGCAAGATGTGGGATGGGAGGTCGTGCAGAATATAAGAGAGAAATCAAACAAGGGAACTGAAATCAAAGGGAGGAAAGAAACAGAGATGCTCTGTAAGAGAGAGCAGGTCAGTACAATCAAAAGACCAAAGGAGGGGTAGGAATCGAGACACTTTTTAAAAAGAGTCAAGACAGGTGACGGTAATTCAAGTGATGTGAATGCTCTTTCCATACATTCCAACTGTCTCTATTTCCTGGTTTGTTCTCCTCTTAAATCGTGGTTCCCATTTTGCTCTCTTTTGTTCTCTAGATAGATAGATAATATATTACTGCTGGTGTGCATGATAGTTTCCATTCTTCAGACACTGTAAACCTCCTCCACTGCTTAGAAGTTAATTGTCTGAGTGGGGCATGGATGCATCTTGAATCGAACACATTTGCATAATGCACACATTTGAATCTTATGCACTGTTACCAGGAAAGGAACTCAGCAGACTTGCCACCAAATGCACAGGATCAGTTTGTATAAGGCTATTTCATGTGTTGTAGCTCAGCAGTGGAAAACGCCACTGCATTTTCCACTGCTGCATTTGGCCTGGGAAGTTGTTTTGGGCAAGTCATACCCATAACCTGACATCAGGCACAAACAGGTATAGCTGCAGCAGGAAAGCAACAATCGGGAGTGTACACCAGTGCTTAGAGCATGCTTCTAATTTTTCCTTCCTGATCAGGTTTGTTAAGCACTGTCAAAGATGGTAAGCTATTAGAAGGTGGTGGTGTTGCCATCTGTCTGTCTCCGGAGATAACGGAGGAACGCACCTTTGGGTGAAATCAAGCTTTTGGAAGGTTGCAGAGCCTGCTGTGGCTTTAGAGACCAATATGGGAGAGACATGTTTTGTTGCAGCTGGGGCAGATTAAGGCGTCTGTTTGTGCTGCTGCAGATGCACCACGACTGCCAAGGCTCTGCCAAGGCTTTGAGAAAGCTATTCCTCCCCCGGTTGCAGCAAGAGCAGAGAAAACAAGGAGAGTCCTTTTGAATGAGTTTTATTCAATCCTGATAGCAAGAGACAAAATAACACAACAGGCCTTAACATGGTGTTGCTCCAAACTGGGCTCCTCCTCCCCCTTTCCTAGCAACAGCACTTCCCCTTATGGTGGCTGCTTGTGGCCAAATGTCTCTAATTCTGTTGTTCCTGCACCAGAGTTCTGGGTGAAGGGGGATCAGAAATACTCTCCAGTGACAATGTGTTAGCAGGCTGCTCTGTCACACTTCCCAACTAATTTGTTCATCTCTCTCTGAGCTGTCTCTCTCATCCCTCTCAAACCCCTGCTGTAATTCAATGCTGCATTCTTCTTCTCCTGCCATGGCAGAAGAAGGAGGGGGGTGATCTCCACCACTCCTCTATTAGGATTCTTGCTCCGTGTTTGCAGTCATGGGATTGTTTTCTATCACATGATGGTGGATGTTTTCATTCCACAGTGTGGGAAGTGACAGAGACAGGATGTTTTGTGTTACTGTGTCCCGTGATGTAGGACTATTGTCCTTTGTTTCTTTCTCTTTGCTGTTTGATGAGAAAGAGGAAGGAGCCAAGTCAGAATGCCCCAAGTGTATTATACGTAAATAAACGTAGATTAGCCAAAATGCTGTGCTACTGAGTTCTGTTACGCAAACTGCAAATACTATACACTGTGATGTTCGGGCTGGAGAAAGCCTTTGAAGCTCCCAACCGACCAGGAGGGTCTCTACCAGGGTCCTACATGGGAGTAGGACGATCCTAACATCCTCATCCATCTCGCCCTCTTGAGTCCAATCCCTGATAATGACGTTTCTTCTCCATGCTCTTCCCATCAGTCAATCCTCCTCTGGTCCCAGCTATGGATACACAGCCTAACTGTCTGTCTCCAGACACTGTGGTCATCTGCAAGGGATTCAAACAGGGTGGGCTTGATGTCGCCAACCTTCATTTGCATCTTTGTAGTGTAGAGTTGGTCTGCCAATGAGCCTGGTGCCAGAAGCCAGCCCATTGTAGAGCACGTCCTTGGGGATCCTGCCATCTTCCATCCTGCAGACATGCCCAAGCCAGCGTAGATATGGCTGAGACAGGAGTGTGTGCTGGCAATGTGGGCTTGGAAGTGTACATCTTTCTTTGGAACTCTGTCTTGCCATGTGATACTCAAAATCTTCCTGATGCAGAACATGTGGAAGATGTTGAGGCATCACATCTGAAAGTTGTAAGTTGCTCACAACTCTGGAGGGTGTTACCAGGACAGATACAGTGGTACCTTGGGTTAAGAAGTTAATTTGTTCTGGAGGTCCGTTCTTAACCTGAAACTGTTCTTAACCTGAGATA